CTACATTGAAATTCAACCGACGACACAAAATCTGGCCGACATAACTCAGGGGTGGAATATTGAACTACATCCTGGGAGCTCCCCCCCCCCCCTCTCCCTTTCCCCTTCCCTTCTCCCTTCCCTCCCTTCTTCCCTCCCCCACACAACCCTCCCAAACATCAAAATACGTGTGGAAACTATGGCTGGATGTATCATGTAGAAATAAGCAGAGCTGAGAGAGAGAGAGCGAGACGTAGAAACAAATGCAGCATTATGCAGTTTATTGACCACGTTTCGCCCACACAGTGGTCATTATGAAGTCAAAAACAAAACTTTGAGGAATTTCACGGCAGTGGTATCGTGGAGATGTAATCACACGGTGAATAAAGGCAGCTGTACATGAATGGATTCAAATTAGATACCTTTAAATTCAGAAAGGATATAGGAAAGTATCGGTTTGGAAATAGGTTAGGTGATGAGTGGAACAGTCTGCCTAGTAGGGTTATTGAAGCTAAAACCTTGGGTACTTTCAAGTTTAGGTTGGATAAATACATGAGTGAGAGAGGTTGGACTTGAGTGAGACTTACACATGAGTAAATAGATTTATTAGAGTTTATTCTTAGGGTACTACTGAAGGTGGGTTGGGTAAATACTCTGTTAATGGGTTGGATTTGTGAAGGACCTGCCTAGTATGGGCCAACAGGCACACTGCAGTGTTACTCCTTTCTCATGTTCTTATGAACGATGTATAATACCAACAAGACGAAGAATTAAACACCTGTGGAATATCTGCGTCCGGGGAAAAAAGGTCACAGTTTTGGCTAGGGAAAAAAGTCACTGGGGAAGAAGGTCAGAGAACAAAAAGTCACAGAAAATAAACCACAATTTTGACTACGGGGAAAAAGTAACATTTTATTAAATATGCAGACAATCGTAGACAGGGGGGGGGATCTGTAGCTCAAGTACTTTCACACTTCTCAGTGCGTCATCAGGAGCTATGCAGTGTTGCAAGGCAGCATCAACTGAAGGAGTGAGGGGAAGTTTCCTCAGAGTAGCACAGTGCGGGTTTGTCACCGTCCGCACCGGAATGTGGGCCAACGGTGGGTGCCACCCCCTCACCACCACCATCCTCACCCCCTACATATGGGGTAGGAGGGTTTTGAGATGTCAAGGATTATGAAATCAGAAGATTTAATAGCCAGCCCCAAGCTTTTTCTAGCCACTTAGAACAGATCATGTGATTTGAGAAAATACGTTTCTCAGTGGATACTTAAAGTAATGAAACGAATTTATTTTAAATCAGTTATTAACTGGCAGCACATGACAGTACCTGACAGTACATGAAAGTATATGACAGTATTTGACAGTATATGACAGTACATGCCAGTAGTGCAGGGTTGGTGAGGTTCAGCCTCAGCTGGTTCAGGGTTTGGGTGAGGGGGAGTTGGGTTTGTGAAGGACTTGCCAGTGAAGGCTTGCTGCAGTGTTCCTCCTTATAGTCTTATATGTAACCAGAAGTTGTGTTGCAGGGGGTGGTGTGTAGCAGTGGTGGTAGTAGTGGTGGTAGCAGCGGTGGTGGTGGTGGTGGTGGTGGTGGTGGTGGTTGGTGGTGGTGGTGGTGGTGGTGGTGGTGGTAGTGGTGGTGGTAACGGGGGGTGGTGGGGGTAGTGGTGGTGGTATTATCAAACAAGCCAGGGCAGGTGAAGAGGGGTCGTCTGCCCCGACTGATAACACGGAGGTGGGGGAGGGGTTATGAGAGGGCAGTGTCAGGGAGGGGAGGTGAGGGGGAAGTGAGTGGGGGAGGACACAACCAGCGCCACTTACACAGCCATTACAGTGAGTGGTCCGCCCACTAATTCAGGAAATTATTAAAACGAGAAACAGTGTGTTAGGAAAACCTCTACTCGAGTGATTGCTGGGGAGGGGAGGAGGGAGGGGGAGGGGGGGAGGGGAGGGGAGGGGAGGGGAGGGGGGAGGGGAGGGGAGGGGAGGGGAGGAGGGGAGGGGAGGGGAGGGGAGGGGAGGAGGGGAGGGGAGGGGAGGGGAGGGGGAGGGGAGGGGAGGGGAGGGGGGGGAGGGGAGGGGGGGAGGGGAGGAGGGGAGGGGAGGGGAGGGGAGGAGGGGGGGGGGAGGGAGGGGAGGGGGGAGGGGAGGGGAGGGGAGGAGGGGAGGGGAGGGAGGGGGGGAGGGGAGGGGAGGGGAGGGGAGGAGGGGAGGGAAGGGGAGGGGAGGGGAGGAGGGGGAGGGAGGGGGAGGGGAGGGGAGGGGAGGGAGGGGAGGGGAGGGGAGGGGGGAGGTGGGAGGGGAGGGGAGGGGGGAAGGGAAAAATAAGTAAATAATAATCGTAAGGGAGGAAAAAATAAGGGAAATAATGTGAGAAATAGTGAAGGGACTGGTAAGGGGTTATTTCTCCCTATGCTAGAGAGGAGGGGGGGGGGAGGGAAAGGGGAGAGGGGAGGGGGTGAGGGGAGGGGATGAAGGCTCTTCAACTAGGAATCTAGAATGCTAGAGAAGCCTCGAGGAACGAGAACCTGCTTGTCTTGGTTCGGTCAAACAATGAGACTCTTGCTCAGCTTGGGTTCAAACCCCCTGGCCATGACCTACTTCTACTAGTGGGGACCCGCCCCACCTGGAGGTGTGGCTTCAACTGCTGCACCTCTCAGCTGACGCCCATGCTTCAGATTCATCAAGGTTCTTATCTGCTTCCAGGTTGAGGGACTGACTACCTCATCTTCCACTGTATATAGTTCTGTTGGGTTGAGGGACTGATTACCTTGTCTTGTCTCAGGCTTCAGCTGCTTCAAATTACCTCTATATTATACTGATAAATCCACTGGTTGGCGAAACGTCTTCAAATAAAGATACCCAGGAGTGGCATGTCTCTAAATTATGTACCAGTTGATACACATGTACAACACTTGGGTATTTTAATCGTGCAAACGTATCGCCTCACAGTGGCTTCATCAGTCCAATATGAAGAAGAATTTTGAAGATCATAAGGAGTTTGAGGTAATCCGTCCCTCAGCCTGGAGTGGAAGCAATTAGTAATCAATCCATCGTTGTTTTCAAGATGATTGACACAATACATCAAGACTGATAAACTGATTTCATCGACTCCAAGCCGAGGGACCGATTATCTCAAAACTCCTTCTGGTCTTAAACCATTCTTCTTTGTTTTAGACTGATGAAGCAACTGTGTGGCGAAACGTCTAGTTTATTTACTTGTCGGTTCTCTGAATCATTTATCTACACTGTTTCACCAGATCGATTACACTTAACATTGAATCGAAACCTAACAGCGCGGTTTGACAATCTTTTGTTTAACTTAGTTTATACACACATATATAAACATCCCTCCCGACTAGCCAACCAGGTGCTAAGAGTATAACGAGTAGGGGCCTCCTCGTTATGCTAGCACCTTGGTTCAACCAGCCAATGACAAGAAAGCCTGTCAAAATGACTCACGAAATCGTAATGACACGATTGCAAACAAACCATACCACGGATGGGGATAGAACCCGCGAAGGTCTGGAGTTCTGAGACTCTCTGATCGCGGGTTCTATTCCCGTCCGTGGTATGGTAAGCCTGTCAAAGTTGTGAAGCGATGTGGTACGCTTGTAAGTCAACACTGGCAGACTTACCTCCAAGTCTGGTTGCAACTGTTCTCACTGTGTCCCTTGCTTGTATTTGCCTTATTGTACATATCCTCTGTATATATTGTACATATATCGCTTGCTGTTTGATGAAGCAATAGAAGTATTTGCTCTCTCTGCTGCCTTTTTGCTGGTTCCTACCATGGTAATGTTGCTACAGACAGGTGTGCAGGCCACTAGACTGTGTTCACAATAAACAGTAAGGATACAGAAAGGTCCCAGGTCTTGTTCGGCAGGTTACCAATGGTCTTAGAGAACACCTGTGTTGAGCGAGCTAACGAAGACAGTTATCAAAATGGGAAACATTTGGGTATCTTTATTGCCACTGGATAGCGAAACGTCTACAGTAAAGATACCCAGATGTTTCACATGTCTAATTCATAACACATTGATGTTAAAAGAGAGTTTAAAGATGGGGTGAGGGGGAAAATACAAGGCAACTATGAAATTAAAATTACAAGGGATTTAAAGACAAGTCCGAAGGTTGTTTTTCCCGAGTACATAGAACACAGATCAGAGAAGAAGTGAGTCCACTTAACACTGACTCTGAACGAGTATGATACATGTACAGTACTGGTGGGGAGAGGTGGTGGAGGTGCTGGTGGGGAGAGATGAGGTGCTGGTGGGGAGAGAAAAGGTGCTGGTGGGGGGAGAGGATGTGCTGGTGGGGAGAGAGGAGGTGCTGCTGGGGAGAGAGGTGCTGATGGGGAGAGAGGAGGTGCTAGTGGGGAGAGAGGTGGCGCTGGTGTGGAGAGGGGAGGTGCTGGTGGGGAGAGAGAAGGTGGAGGTGCTGCTGGGGAGAGAAGGTGGAGGTGCTTGTGAGAGAGAAGAGGTGCTTGTGAGAGAGAAGAGGTGCTTGTGAGAGAGAGGAGGTGCTTGTGAGAGAGAGGAGGTGCTTGTGAAAGAGAGGAGGTGCTTGTGAGAGAGAGGAGGTGCTTGTGAGAGAGAGGAGGTGCTTGTGAGAGAGAGGAGGTGCTTGTGAGAGAGAGGATGTGCTTGTGAGAGAGAGGAGGTGCTTGTGAGAGAGAGGAGGTGCTTGTGAGAGAGAGGAGGTGCTTGTGAGAGAGAGGAGGTGCTTGCAGGGGTCAGCCTGTAGAAAGAGATTGGGGGGAGGGGAGAGGTGTTGGGGAGGGAGGGGGGAGGAGGAGTGAATGAGAGAGGGTGGAGAAGCAAGGTGTTCGTAGATAGGCTGGCGGTGGTGTTGGGCGGGGAGGGGAATGGGGAGTGGGAGGGGAAGGAGGAGAGGAAGAGGGGGTGTACGGCAGCAGCAGCGTCACCCTGGTGGTGGGTGCCACACACACACACACACACACACACACACACACACACACACTGGCACTCTCTCTCTCTCTCTCTCCCAGTCACTGCCTGGCACTCTCCCCGCTAGCTGCCTCCACACACACGTCGCTAACCTGGCTCCTCCCGCAGCTCCTGCCGCTTCCCTCTTATCCCGCCGCACAGGAAGTATCATCCGCGGCACCGGAAGTATCATCCGCGGCACCGGAAGTACCATCCGAGGCACCGTTATCACCCTACGAGGTACCTGAAGTAGTATCCGCGGCGCCGGGAGGAACACTCAAGGCTCTTGTATCATCCGAGGAACCGGAAGTGGCATCCAACGCCCTTGAAGCATCATCCGAGGAACCAGAAATATCCGAGGCACCGGAAGCACACACTTGCCGCCGACATCAGCGACACCCCGCGTACTCGCGGACGCATTCCGAGGCACCGGAAGCATCATTCTAGGTACCCGGAAGTATCGCCCGGGGAACCGGAAGTATCATCCGAGGTACACAGTAACATCATTCGAAGCACCGGAAGTATACACTCGTGAACATCGCCGGAAGTGCACACTCGCGGAGACCACCTCGCTGTCCCGGACCTCACCTGCTTACTAGCGAACACCTAACGAGGTCGCTAAGCCAGCCTCGTAGCGAACACCTAGCGAGGTAGTGACAAGCAAACTTAGCGAGGTGGTGTTAGTGAGGTGATGCTAGCGAGGTGTTAGTGAGGTGATGCTAGCGAGGTGTTAGTGAGGTGATGCTAGCGAGGTGTTAGTGAGGTGGTGCTAGCGAGGTGTTAGTGAGGTGGTGCTAGCGAGGTGTTAGTGAGGTGGTGCTAGCGAGGTGTTAGTGAGGTGGTGCTAGCGAGGTGTTAGTGAGGTGGTGTTAGCGAAGGGTTAGCTAGGTAGTGGTAGCGAGGTGCTAGCAAAGTGGTGTCAGTGAGGCATTAGCGAGGTAGTAGCGAGATGGTGTTAGCGAGTTATTAACGAGGTGGTATCAGCAGTGTTATCGAAGTGGTATTAGTAGGGTATTAGCGAGGTGGTATTACCAAGGAGTTAGCGAGGTATCACCAAAGTGTTGGGGAAGTGGTGTTAGTGAGGTGTTAGCAAGGTGATAGAAACTAACGCAGAATCAGCAATATGTTAGCGAGGTGGTGCTAGCGAGGTGGTGTTAGCGAGGTGGTGCTAGCGAAGTGGTCTTAGCGAGGTAGGCAGGAACTGCGACCCACCACGTGGGCCGCTCTCCCGACCCACCTCCGCCGCCATCGTAGTGCTGTCGACGCTGCCTGCCTCCTGCCTCCCGCCGCTACAGGTAAACTGTCACCTCCGTCTGTATCACTGTATGCTCCGCTGACAGGTATAACTGACAAATATGCGACAGGTATATCCAAAATTTCCAAATGATCATCATTATTATTATTGTTATTATAACTAAGCACTAAACTCACAAGGGTCAATTTGCAGACGACATTAGACTCTGCATGACGCTCTGTGAGGAGAGATTTTAGTTACTCCGTTATTGGAAACTGGAGGTAATAATAGCTAGAACTGAGTATACTACAAATTCTAACCACACAATAGAGCGGAAAAGTAATGTGAAGGACCTGGGAGTGCTAATGCCAGAGGATCTCACCTTCAAAGATCTCAAGTGTCTCACATTTGAAAGGAAAATGAGTAGATGGATAATGAGAACCTTTGTAACAAGAGATGCCAAGCCAGTGATGATCCTCTCCAAGTCACTTGTTCTCTCTAGGCTGGAATATTATTACTGTACACCAACAACTCCATTCAAGGCAGGTGAAATCGGGGATCTAGAGAATGTACAGAGAACCTTTAACTGCATGTGTTAGTTCAGTCAAGCACCGTAATTACTGGGAACGTTTGAAGTCTCTTGACCTGTACTCCCTGGAATGCAGGCGAGAAAGATGTAGCATAATCTACACCTGGATACTCCTAGAGGGATTAGTCCCAGATCTACGCACAAAAATCACTCCTTACGAATGCAAAAACCAGGCAGACGGTGCAACATTGCCCCGGTGAAAACAAGGGGCGCCATGAGTACACTAAGATAAAACAGAATAAATGTCAGGGGCCCAAGACTGTTCAAAAGCCTCCCATCATGCATAAGGGGAATTACCAATAGACTTCTGGCTACCTTCAAAGGGTAGCTGGACAGAATTCAAAGTCAGTACCTGTGGTTCGTACATTGGATTGCGTGTGGTCAGCAGTAACAACTTGGTTGATCAGTCTCTGATCCACCGGGAGGCCTGGTCCTTGACCAGGCCTCGGAGACGTTGACCCCCGGAGCACTCTTCAGGTATACTCCAGGTAGCATACCTAAAGGCAGGTATAAAATACTCGTCAACTCCCGGCCAACGAAAATCACAGCTTCGTCTCCTGGCAACTTCGTCTCCTTCTGGCAACTTCGTCTGCTCCTGGCAACTTCGCCTGCTCCTGGCAACTTCGCCTGCTCCTGGCAACTTCGTCTGCTCCTGGCAACTTCGTCTTCTGGCAATTTCGTCTCCTGGCAACTTTGTCTCCTCCTGGCAACTTCGTCTCCTCCTGGCAACTTCGTCTCCTGGCAACTTCGTTTCCTCCTAGGTCACGAATACTCATAAACTCCTTCACAAGAAGGAATTCTGAGATCAAACAGCTTCAGGTTCTCTCCTGCCGTCGAAGAACACACACACTCAAAACATCGAAGTAGCCTCACAGATATGTTATGTATTGGTTTAGAAAACTAACTAACAAGTTGACGAATGAAACACTGGTGTAGCATCTGGGTATCTTTATTGAGGAAACGTTTCGCCAGCCAGTGGCTTCATTAGTCCATTACGGAGAAGAACGGTGAAATATGAGGAGAATAAGGTAATCAGTCCATCAACCTGGAGTCGATGTGCTCAGTCCATTAGTCTTGATGGACTGAAGATGTGATGTAGTCCACTGGCTGGCGAAACGTTCCCTCTGTAAAGATAAACAAATGCTGCACCAGTGTTTCATTCTCCTGCTGATCGCTGCTTCGAAGTCCCGCAGGAGACCCACCTCTCCTAGCCGACTTCCGCCACATTCCCGCAGCACTCACCAAGGTACCGCGAATCGCACTCGCTAGTACCTTGTAAAGACTTGACGCGCAGATGATTTCCGTCAGGATTCCGAAGCGCGTCGGAAGAAGAAGCGTCACAGTCGGTCGCAGATGGCGCATGAACGGCTGCAAAGGCGGGAAGAGCGTTATATAAATATGAGAAGCGCATGTCTAAGCATCGAAGTTGAAAAAGAGGGAATGCGCTGCATGACCCATACAGACATAACGCATGTTTATGATGATAATTATTATTATTATTATTATTATTATTAGTGCTATTATTTTAATAATAATAATAATAGTAATAATAACTTAGGCAACCTGAGTTACGAAATGCTTCCCTTACACAGTATCTACAGTAGAACACCGTAGGTAAATACGTGACGCAGTGTAGGGGTGGTCAGTCTGTCAGTCTGGAGAGGTGGTCAGCCTGTCAGCTTGGAAAGATATTCAGTCTGTCAGTCCGGAGAGGTGTTCAGCTTCGTAGTCTTGAAGGCTGTGAAGTTTAACACTTCTTGAGGGCTGAGGGGACTGACCACCTCATCTATAACCTCTCCATTGCCTCTCCTATCTCCATGCTTCGTCTCCTCTGTATTCGACCGAAGAAACCTACAGTGTAGGCGAAACGTTTAGGAAATAAAGACAGCTTTTCCACATCACAACCCAAGGTAAAACTTCAAAGACCTCACCCACGGTCCAAGACCTACCACCCACGGATGATCGTGTGAAGGCTCGATCCTCCGTCTACTGAGAATCGTGCACTGGAGGAAGTCGTTGCCACAGTGAAATCAAAATCCAGAGATAACGACAATACAGTTTTGTGCCTCAAGATTTTCCCAGTCGAAAGTAGAGTTAAAACAGAGAGGGAGGAGTAGGAGACTGTTGACTGGTCCTTAGACGCATTGGAAAACCTGTCAAAGCATCAGCAGTGACTGTAGCCAAGCATCAGCAGTGACTGTAGCCAAGCATCGGCAGTGACTGTAGCCAAGCATCAGTAGTGACTGTAGCCAAGCATCAGCAGTGACTGTAGCCAAGCATCAGCAGTGACTGTCACAGCATCAGCAGTGACTGTAGCCAAACATCAACAGTGACTGTAGCTAAACATCAGCAGTGACTGTAGCCAAGCATCAGCAGTGACTGTCACAGCATCAGCAGTGACTGTCACAGCATCAGCAGTGACTGTCACAGCATCAGCAGTGACTGTAGCCAAACATCAGTAGTGACTGTAGCTAAACATCAGCAGTGACTGTAGCCAAGCATCAGCAGTGACTGCCACAGCATCAGCAGGGACTGTCACAGCATCAGCAGTGACTGCCACAGCATCAGCAGGGACTGTCACAGCATCAGCAGTGACTGTCACAGCATCAGCAGTGACTGTCACAGCATCAGCAGTGACTGTCACAACATCAACAGTGACTGTCACAGCATCAACAGTGACTGTCACAGCATCAACAGTGACTGTCACAGCATCAGCAGTGACTGTCACAGCATGAACAGTGACTGTCACAGCATCAGCAGTGACTGTCACAACATCAACAGTGACTGTAGCCAAGCGTGTAATGCACTGAGCTGTCTTCAACAGCCAAACATTACCAGATATAACATCTCTGTGTGGCAGAAATATTAGACTGTCATTGTAAGAAAGTTTATTTTCTCAACTTATTAAAGTGCAGAACATGATTGTGAGTGTGTGTGAGGACACCAGGTGTCAGATTGTGAGTGTGTGGAAGGACACCAGGTGTCAGATTGTGAGTGTGTGGGAGGACACCAGGTGTCAGATTGTGAGTGTGTGTGAGGACACCAGGTGTCAGATTGTGAGTGTGTGTGAGGACACCAGGTGTCAGATTGTGAGTGTGTGGAAGGACACCAGGTGTCAGATTGTGAGTGTGTGGGAGGACACCAGGTGTCAGATTGTGAGTGTGTGTGAGGACACCAGGTGTCAGATTGTGAGTGTGGGGAAGGACCCCCAGGTGTCAGATTGTGAGGGGTGTGTGAGGACACCAGGTGTCAGATTGTGAGTGTGTGGAAGGACACCAGGTGTCAGATTGTGAGTGTGTGTGAGGACACCAGGTGTCAGATTGTGAGTGTGTGGGAGGACACCAGGTGTCAGATTGTGAGTGTGTGTGAGGACACCAGGTGTCAGATTGTGAGTGTGTGTGAGGACACCAGGTGTCAGATTGTGAGTGTGTGGAAGGACACCAGGTGTCAGATTGTGAGTGTGTGTGAGGACACCAGGTGTCAATTGTGAGTGTGTGTGAGGACACCAAGTGTCAGATTGTGAGTGTGTGTGAGGACACCAGGGTGTCAGATTGTGAGTTTTGTGTGGGACACCAGGTGTCAGATTGTGAGTGTGTGTGAGGACACCAGGTGTCAATTGTGAGTGTGTGTGAGGACACCATGTCAGATTGTGAGTGTGTGGGAGGACACCAGGTGTCAGATTGTGAGTGTGTGGAAGGACACCAGGTGTCAGTTTTGTGAGTGTGTGTGAGGACACCAGGTGTCAGATTGTGAGTGTGTGGAAGGACACCAGGTGTCAGATTGTGAGTGTGTGTGAGGACACCAGGTGTCAGATTGTGAGTGTGTGGAAGGACACCAGGTGTCAGATTGTGAGTGTGTGTGGGGACACCAGGTGTCAGATTGGAGTGTGTGGAAGGACACCAGGTGTCAGATTGTGAGTGTTGTGTGAGGACACCGGGTGTCAGATTGTGAGTGTGTGGAGGACACCAGGTGTCAGATTGTGATTGTGTGGGGAGGACACCAGGTGTCAGATTGTAAAGTGTGTGTGAGGACACCGGGTGTCAGATTGTGAGTGTGTGGAAGGACCCCCAGGGTCAGATTGTGAAGTGTGTGAGGACACCAGGTGTCAGATTGTGAGTGTGTGTGAGGACACCAGGTGTCAGATTGTGAGTGTGTGTGAGGACACCAGGTGTCAGATTGTGAGTGTGTGGGAGGACACCAGGTGTCAGATTGTGAGTGTGTGGGAGGACACCAGGTGTCAGATTGTGAGTGTGTGGGAGGACACCAGGTGCCCAGATTGTGAGTGTGTGAGGACACCAGGTGTCAGATTGTGAGTGTGTGTGAGGACACCAGCTGTCAGATTGTGAGTGGGGTGTGAGGACACCAGGTGTCAGATTGTGAGTGTGTGTGAGGACACCAGGTGTCAGATTGTGAGTGTGTGTGAGGACACCAGGTGTCAGATTGTGAGTGTGTGGAGGACACCAGGTGTCAGA